ATTATATCAAAAATGTGCTTATGGATGCCAGCAAGCACAGGTAAGCACAAGCTCATTGCAGTAGCACGGGGAGGATGAAACTATATACACCATTCGTAGGAGTGGATCGGTAAAGGAGGTGCAGAACTAAAAAGAAACACACATACCACCACAGGTGACACAATGACCACATAACGTTCCTGCAATAAGCCTCATGGTACAGTAAAACTCTGAGAATGACAGCTACAGCCATCATGATCACAACAGCTCTTAATGAACGCCTGACGACCGTCATCAATTCGATTTGACTCAGAAAATCTCTCTGGCACACACAACATTGCCCGACAGTTTCACGCAGACTTGGTTGATGCCTATAGGCACTGACCTGCTTATTGTTGAATTATTGTACACAGCACCAAAGAGACATAGAGGAAGATGGCTTGTTAGTGTCACAGTACTGAACATCCCAAAGACACACGGACTATACGTTTTCTCTCGGTTATATACATGTCTAACATCTTCAAATTCCATTGATTGTGTTTTGATTATTCAATTATTATCTATTGATTATGGACTATATTTTTTGTTTTTTGTCTGACGCTATATGCAAAAATAAGTCTCTAAGTGATTCCTAAATTATGTTTCTTAATACGCCAATAAGTTACTTTAGCATTTTCTCATGCCTGTGATATACAATAGATTGAAATGAAAATCCCCTTCATGTCTTGTTTAAACGTCCAGCGTAAGCACGTCGTAAGGCTTAAAAAACGCCACAGCTGCGCCTCTCTGGAGCATGCCATCACGTGGGGCTATTGTCACCAGCCAAGGAAGAGACATTTTACACATACTTCCAAGGCAGGACTGAGAAGACAGACACAGACTGCCACAAGATCCAGCATTATAGTCGTCAAGCCCAGTGCAGCCCCTGCTATAGGAGAATATCAGATTGAGAACCTGTGAAGCATCCCCTTCAGACATTAGGGATGACCTCAGGGTTTCGAGCGCCGTATGAATTCTGAACTGTAAATCAAAATTATGAGATGCTTTTTTTTCGAAGAAGTAATCTTAATTACGACCATTAAAAAAAAAAAAAACCTATCTGATGCCAATACCCACTGTCTATGAACATCGCATGAGTACTCTGCATGTTCTTCCTAGTTTGCACAGCACGCAGATTCACTTATAGTTATACTATATAATTACATCATTGTTATGACCCTGAACACATGTCTTTGTATTCTAGTTTCCTATTTGTTTTGATTTGTATTAAACCAAACAATAAATATATTTTTTGTATAAATTACCCACCATTACAGCCATCAGTTTAAAGTCTTCTGCCATTTCAGCTAATTCCCTTTAGTGACCTCCCAATTTTCACCCTGTCATCAACCATACCCAAATAGACGATAAAAAACTAGATACTTGAATCATAATTGCTTCTATATATGTATCTATATTGAATACCCTATAATACTATACAATTGGTACCTGTTGTTTATATACGACACACCCACAAGGACCCGGGTTGGACAGTCATATTTTTCTTATGTAAATTTATAACCTTTACAATATAACTATATAAGATACTAGCAACGTAAATACTATAACGCATTATATTCGCAACAGAACCTATATAGTACTTCTGTTGATACTAGTTGGCGATAAGGTGGAGACAACGGTGAAATTGGAGTCCACTAAAGGAGGGAATTAGTTCTTGTAAGTGCGCTACGACGATAAGGCTTTAAACAATTCTGAGGCACTGAAAGGTTAATGACAAAAAAAGTAATTTATGTTGTGTAAAGACAAAGAAAAAAATAGATAAAAACGAGAAAAAAAAAAAACTGTTTAGTCAAATATATTGATGAAATAGATAACGCATCCTATTGAAAGGAATAGAGGATGAAAAACAAAAGCACACAACCCAATTCAGAGCCAGACTCAAGCGGGATGGTGTAACAGTGAATTGGAGATAAGATTTTTTTATATTATTTAATGATATATTACCACGATATATTTCATGCGATAAAACAAACAATCAGATCTTTTTATATTTAATCGTTTCCAGAGAATGCATTAAGGCGCTAAAACCCTGATGGTAAAAAGCTGAGAGCGGATAACCCATGATCTTTCGTAATTAATAATTTCTACCCTATAAGGCTGAAACCAAGTGCCTACATATAATTTTATCTGTGGCCAGACTTATGTACTTACTCCAGATGCAATATGAGAAAGGAGGTGAATATTATTCTAAACTTGGACTCTGTGACCAACTTAAGAAAAGATATGGGAGATTTCGGAACAAGGAAGGAGACATTGTGGTTATTAGGATTAGGAACTTGACGAAATGAGGTTTACCAAAACACACAGATAAGGTTTTTATAAATATAATATTGCTGAGATTGGATGGCGAGGTGAGGAATGCAAAAAAGAACCCTTGGGTAAGAAAAATAGATTTTAGGGAATCACTTAAGAAATTATTTTGCAATAAAGAGTCACAGAAACGAACCAAACCCCCCCCCCCCCCCGCAACTCCAAACTGTGCGTAAAGTCTCCAAAACCATTCATTGTCTCATGGATTATTAATATCTTTAGCTGCTTCACTGTTTCTACTCTCTTTCTATTCCTAAAATACTTTCCCCCTGCAGGCTGTCTCACTGATGTATTTTACGTAGGTGTCTCATCTTCATAATAATCTGGCCACAGCAGCTGTAACCGTGCAGCTTTTTCCTATGAAAATGAAATATCATTTTGATCATGCGTAAATATGTCTCGCAGAGCGGTGAAAGCGTAACCTCTTACTTGGTGCTTTCAAGCCATCTTCACACACTTGCCGGTTCATTATGCACGTAAAATGACTTCTCCAAAGGTGGGACATTAAAAAAGTGATCTAGAGAGCGGCACAGTTCGTTCTGAGCACCAGGCACCGGGGACATCTTCATCTCCGCAGCAGCAGTTACACCCCGATGGTGGCGTGTTTGCAAGGAGGTGGGAAATGAAATAAAATACTGGCTCATATAGCTTTGAAAGCTTTTATTTATTATTATTAAGTCATTCAGTCTCCTCTCATTAGACGGCATGACGTTTTGCCATCACGGGAACAACAGATAGAGTCTTGAGTGTAAGCAGCTGAAGGTGGAGAAGGATTTGTGCGCGATCATGATGGGATCCTCAGTGAGATTCCCACTGTCAAACACCATTATGGTCATTTTTTCGCATCAGGACGTGGAAAAATGCAATACTGGCATTCACAAAAACAGACCCATGTGGAAATGATCTACTGTGTCTCCAAAAGAAACCTCAAACACCGTGTCCAGCCCTGTTTATTCTTTATTTCTTTAAAATGTGACTGTAGATATGTGTACATATTTGCAACACTTTGGGTGGCAAAATACTAATGATAAAAAAAAAGAGAGATACAGTATATACACTGACATTTATTTTTCAAGTGGTTTAATAACACTTACATCGGCCTGAGCTTCCACTGGAAATGTCATTTGTATAATACATGTAGGAACCTTTTTCTGACATTTACAAACTAATAAGTTGAGAATA